ATCAGAGGTGGTCCCCTTGACTGAGCTGGGGAGGACCGGAGTTAGAGACCCAAACAGCTCAGCGCCAGGTGATAGGTCTCCAGCTCCGGAAGGAGACGGGAGGGGGACAGACTGCCTGAGTCATCCCTGGGTGGTAGTTAAGGCAGAGGACGGGACACTCACAGAGGGTGAGAAGGCCCGGGAGGCCCTGCTAACTGTCAAGTGAGGAGGAGACGGGGGCTGAGGGAGGAGCGGAGGGAGGGAGCAGAGGAGATACACAGCCAGCATCACCTGCAAACACACCTGGCCCAGGTGTGTGACAAGCTGGCAGGTGTATAAATGTCTGGAGTGGACATTGCTGTACAAGCTGCCTGGTGACTTCTGCCCGGGCCCCTGAGAGGGCGGAGGGGGGCACTACTCACAGAGCACTCTATAGAGGCTGGGGAACTGGGCCAGACCCTGATTCCAGACCTGAGGACCCCACTGCCCCTGGAGCACACAGCCTGGGGCCTGGAGGGTGAGGCTTCCAGGGCAGCCAGACCTGGCCAGGTGGGCTCGGTCACCTCCTGGCTGTGGGACTCAGAGGTCCCGCCCCCTTGCAGAGTCCCAGTTAAGGCGTCTATGACGTCAAGTCCCTAGGTGGTTCGCACAGTGAGCGCGCTCCACTGAAACGCTGGAGGTTCGAGTCCAGCTACGCATCGGACTGGTCATTAGTGCTGGCGCGAGCATTATGTGTCTTGGCCAATTAACCCTTGCGACCACTCTTTATGGTAGGGCTACTATCACCCATTTTACAGATGAGGAAACTGAGGGTCATTCGGTAACAGGGCTAAGGTCCCAGCATTGGTAAGAGGTTCACTGGGGAGGCGGGTCTGGGAGCACTGAGGACCCGGCCCATGACCCCCACACACCCGGCCGCCACCTGCCTCTCCAGTGTCACCTCTGTTTGAGGCCATCAGTTCTTCTCCTTCCCCACAGCTGCGTCCGTCCTCCATGCCCGTGAGGTCCTCAGGGGCACGCACAAGGTCTGCTTTGTTGCCGAGTCCTCGTCACCCAGCCTGGCACACAGAAGCTGCTTGGTAATCGTGGACGTGGTCATCGGAGAGTGGGTGTTTCAACACCCAGAGCACCTCCAGCACCCCGCCCGCCCCAGGCCCCGGAGCTGTTCTCATACTGTCCGCCACGTTGGGGTCAAGGCTGGGATGGGAGCAGCCACCAAACACGGCCGGGCGCCTCAGCCGCCCAGAGCCCTCAGCCCTGGCAGCAGGGCCTGCGATGGGCCCCCAGCACCCAGCCCAAACTGGACAGGCTGCCTGTGCATGCTGTGGGCACTTGGAGAAGCATATGCCCGTCTTGAAGACACTGGGCGGCACCAATCTCTCGCTCTGTCTAAACGCAAGTCTGACCCGATGCCCCCACCTCCCAAAACCCTTCAAAGACTTGCCCAGCCGATCTCTTCCGCTTCCCAAACTGAGCTCCCCAGAACCCCAGTGGGCCGCAAGGAGGTCCTGTGTTTCTACCAGAAGAGCTCTCTGTTTGTTACTGATTGAGCTGTGCCCCCTAAGGAGATCGGCTAAAGTCTTAACCCCTGCACCAGTGAATGTGATCTTGTTTGGGGAAATAGGATGTTTCTTTGCAAAAGTGATCTGTTAACAAAGTTAAACCAGAGCAGGATGTGTCCTAATCCCAATCCCTTTTGAGCAGCATCTAATAAAAAAGGAAAACAGAGTCACACGGTGGGGGTTGGGGTGGGGGTGGGATAGACAGCATGTGACCGTCCGTCTACAAGACAAAGACACCGAGGATTGCCTGCAGCTACCCGAACCCACGAGAGAAGCAGGAACAGATTCTCCCTCACAGCCTCAGAAGCAGGGATGGATTATCAGGTATCAACAAATAGGGGCACCAGTTGTCCAAAGCAAAGACCCATGGATGCCGAGCAGACAGGACACAAGGAAAAGCACTGCAGGGCCCTAAATGAAACTGATACCAGCTCCAGTGTGTGAGAACGTGCCGGCCGGAAACAAAGTTCACGCAGCATCAGGAGGGCGCCCCCGTGAAGGTTGTTTAAGCTACGAGGCCCTACCACTTCAACACCTTCGTGGACGTCTGTCTCCTACAGTCCCCTCCCGAGTAACTGAAACTCCTTACCTCGGCGGGTCTCTTGGGAGGGTACTGTTTCTTTCTGATGAGCAAGAGGTGGGGGTGGGCTGTCGAGTCTAACTCTCATTATATTCACCCAAGGTGCAGCTGGATCTAACATGAGTGGTTACTGGGCAAGGACGGGTTATACTGATAGTTAACAGGACTCTGATCCATTTTGAGAGAACCGTCTTGTACATCCACGGCTGCTGAGCCAGGAGGGCCAGCAATGCTCTCTGCCATGATACAAACACAAAGGTGTGCTCTCGCACATGTCCTGGTAAACAACCAACGGGAACTCCCGTCCCAGATGACGCGCAAAACCAAGGGAACTCAAATAAGTCAACCATTGCAATGAATTCAATCACGTTACTTTTTAACCATATAGCATTTACCTACAGTAATGTCTTAAGTTTTGTAAACAATAATATTTATAAATTTAACTTTAAAATATGTTTGGCATACCCAAGGACGCAATCTAGCATCTATTTAACGTAATACTAACATGGGTAATAATTTAATACAATACTAACATAGCAAACATCCAAAAAATACTGGAATATTAGTATCTATCAAACACGAAAAGTTTTGATTTATCTATCAACTGAGTTTCTTTTTTTCCTGTCTGTTGCACGGGACACAGTGCTTGACATTGCTCTCTATAGGCTAATAAATGAGGTTATACATATAACTCAAGGAGCCCTGGTGGCGCAGTGGTTAAGAGCTCGGCTGCTGACCAAAATGTCAGCAGTTCAGATCCACCAGCCACTCCTTGGAAACCCTGTGGGGCAGTTCTCCTCTGTCCTATAGGGTCGCTATGAGCCGGAAAAGACTCGATGGCAAACCTAGGAGGTTTTTGGTATACATGACTCACGCATCCCATTCACGTGTGTGAGTGAGCAGAGGAGGGGTACCACAGACTCTTCAGTGTTTAGGGCCCTCACATGCCTTAATCCAGCCCTGCTCAGAAGGAATCAACACGGCCGACACCCTGATACAGACTCCCACCCTCCAGAGCCGTGGGAGAATAAATTTGTTCTTGAAAAGCACACACTTTGTGGTGTTTTTTACTGCAGCCCTAGGCGGCTAAGACATCGTTGAGGTTTTCTTGGGCTGCATCATTTGGGTTTTCCTCCTTACCGTGGGACTTTTCTCAGAGCCTCGCATCTCCTCAGGCATACCTCATGAAGGGGGCAGGTGACGGGAGCCCCATGGGTGTCAGGGGGATCTGGGGTTAGAGCTCCCCAGCCTTTTTAGGCCACGGGATTCTTATTTTCAGGATGCTAGGCACAATTTGGAGCCCTGGTGGCACAGTGGTTAAGAGTTTGGCTGCTAACCAAAGGGTTGGCAGTTTGAATCCACCAGGTGCTCCTTGGAAACCCTATGGGGCAGTTCTACTCTGTCCTATAGGGTCGCTATGAGTCAGAATTGACTTGACGGCAACAGGATTGGTTTTTTGGGTTTTTTTTTCAGGCAAAAAGCCCCGACCTACAGGCTGAAGTTTAAGCTCATTGGCACAACACTTACGGCCACTCATCACCCTGCTCCCACAACCTGCCCAGGTAACCCCCACCGTCACCACCCCTGCCGTCTGCACCAGCTGCTGGAAGCTTCTGTTCTCCCCAGCACTGCTCACCACGCACGCACAGTGTCCGATCAGGAAACCGTGTCCTCGTCCTTCAAGATCCGGGCGCCCCAGGCAGCCCGAGCTCCCCGTGGTGATCCCAGGAGACTGTGCTGGCGATCACTGTCTCCCTGACAGCTGCAGTTGAAGGCGGATGTGGGTCCGACTCTTCTCCGTGAGCCAAGAGCCGAGCGCAGGATCAGCCAGCACAGGCTTCAGTGAGTACCCGCTGCAGAATCTGCCTTCCTGAGCCACACCCAAACACAGCCGGGACAGCGGGGTTTTCTAGCCTTTCCCTCCATTCCCAAGGTCAACCTGCACGGCAAGAAGCCATACGGGGGCAGCTCCAGGTGGGGGCAGGCGGCTGTTATAGGGCTTCAACCAAAAAAAAAAAAAAAGAACCCATCGCCAGTGAATCGCCCCCAACTCCTGGCGCCTCCACGTGTCTCAGAGTAGAACTGTGCCCCACAGGGTTTTCAACGGCTCATAGATGGAAGGAGATCACCAGGTCTTTCTTCCGAGACACCTCAGGCTGGATTGGAACTGCCAGTCTTTTGGTTAGTAGCCGAGCTCTTAACTGTTTGTGCCTCCTGGGACTCCCTTGGGTAAAACCACGGAATAATTTCTACTAATATATAATTTTTTTGGAAGCAGATCGCCAGGCTCTGGGTGGGTTCGAACTGCCAACCTTTGGGTTAATAGATCAGCACAAATGGTGCCACTCAGGGATCTCTCGAGGGCTTGAGGGGACCGAGAAATCCCCAACCCCCAACAGCCTCTCCCTACAGAGCCCCGAGCAGCCCAGCCCCCAGCTGACCATTCCCCAACACCCCCTCCACCAGCACATTTTAACTGCATTGAACAAAGAAAGGCTGAAAACGCTGGGTGTCGCCCAAGAGGGCGGGCAAGCGGGACTTAGTGCTTTCAACCGACACCCGACGGAGTGGGGACGTGAGAACAGGGGAGGGACAAGGACAGGTCAGTTTGGAGGAGGCCAGAAGCTGGAGAAACACAGAGGTAGCCGAGCACTTGGTTTCATTTTGACCGAGCAATCCTGGGACCCTGGGACAGCAGTTCACCTTCCGGGCCTCAGTTTCCCCACCTGGAAGACCAGAGGGCTGGTTGGATGATTTTTTAAAAATGCCGTCCAGTTACGCCTAGGGCGCGCAGCGCGGACGTCGAGGCTCGGCCCCAGGTCTGGGCCTCAGTCTCCCCAGAAGGCCTCGCCGTCGTCCCCCCCCCAACCCGAGCTTACCCGACGGGCAGGCGCCCTTCTGCAGCTGGCGCACAGGCGTCCCGGCAAGCTGCAGCGCGCGGCGGCTGGCCGCCTGCAGCGCGCACACGTTGGCGTAGGTGTGCCCGTCGGTGCCGCACACGGCGTGCGCCCCGCGACAGCGACACGCGCCGCGCGCGCACTCCAGGCTCTCGCCGCACGGAGAGTCGAGCGGGCTGCCGCAGGGCTCGCCCTCGCCCGCGGCGCACACCAGGCAGCAGTTGCAGTGATCGGGCACGTAGCCGCCGGGGCAGCGGGGGCTCGGGCACCGC